AGGCTGCTGTGCTCTCGGGGTGCTGAGTGGGTGAGCCTGTGTGCCAGGTCTGCTCTGCCCCAGCAGCCGTCCCCCTCACCCTGTGCCTGCTCCCCAGTGGGCCCCCCTGCTTGGGGGTGGGCAAGGGAGAGCCATTGCTGGTGCTCATCTGTCCTTGGTCCCGCAGATCCAGACACCAGCACCGACATCTTCTGCCACATGATGCCTTTCTACAGCTACGATGTGCCCCACACCTGTGGGCCAGACCCCAAGATCTGCTGCCAGTTCGACTTCAAGCGCCTGCCGGGTGGCCGGATCAACTGCCCCTGGAAGGTGCCTCCCCGAGCCATCACTGATGCCAACGTGGCAGAGCGGTGAGTGCTGCAGGGGCAGGGGCAAGTGGCTCTGAGCCCCACGTCCCTGTCCGGGAGCCAGCCTCACGCCCTGGCCCCCCACGGCAGAGCCCAGCTGCTGCTGGACCAATACCGCAAGAAGTCCAAGCTGTACCGCAGCAAGGTGCTGCTGGTGCCCCTGGGAGATGATTTCCGCTACGACAAGCCGCAGGAGTGGGATGCCCAGTTCCTCAACTACCAGCGCATCTTCGACTTCCTCAACTCCCGACCCGACCTCCACGTCCAGGTACGTGCAGGGAGGTGCGGGACAGCGTGGGGGGCTCCAGGGAGCCAGGCCTCACAGGCGGAGGTTGTGGGGAGGCCAGCTGCAGAGCCCAGTCAGAGGTTGGGCAGTGCTGGGAGGGGAGGTGGGAGACCCCAGCTGCGGGAGCCGCAGCGGCTCCCCGTCGTGCTCAGGGCTGTGCATGCTGTCCTGCAGGCACAGTTTGGGACGCTCTCCGACTACTTTGATGCCCTGTACAAGAAAGTGGGCATCGTGCCAGGGATGAAGCCGCCCGGGTTCCCAGTGCTGAGTGGGGATTTCTTCTCCTATGCGGACCGGGAGGATCACTACTGGACAGGCTATTACACCTCCCGGCCTTTCTACAAGAGCATGGACCGGGTGCTGGAGGCCCACCTCCGGTGAGGGGAAGCGGGCTGGGCCCCAGGGCAGGGGTTGTGTGCAGGGGGCACGGGCAAGGGTCAGCCAGGCAGCGCCCGGGAGCCCTGGCAGCCCCCCGGTCT